AAGAGAAATCAGCAGAAAGAAGAGATGGCATGAGTGAGATGAGAAACATTCAGGGGGGGAAATTTAAAAATCAGACAAAAGAAAGAGTTAAAGCCTCTGTATGCTTCACAAAAATTGCTACAAATGTATTAATTCAGCAATATTAGTCCCACCCTTAACACTCCTAAATCAGCTTCAGTACATTCTTTGTATCCTCAGCAGTTATGTAAAAATCTTTAGACGCAAGATGTTGGAAATATCTTCCCTACCAGGTCAGGCTTGGCTGGTGAGGAGGTCTGTCATGAAGAGTTTTATTTTTTTAACAGAATGTGTTCAACAGAGGTCATTGTTACAGGAAAGCTGAAGCCCAGACCTTAAGATTCAAAACTGATACTGTATTGGGAATGCCAAGAATTTTAGAAAGATTCTTAAACCTGGCTTTGGAGTTTTGAAAATAATCTATAATAGAGATTAAGGTGGCATCTGTTTGGAGAGATAACATTATTGTGTGTCTGCTGTGGAGAGCACGGTCTGGTTTTCTGGTCCTGGATATAAAGCACAGGAGTTGCATGATCAGGCTTCACACAGGCTGGTTTCCCTGTCAGTCTCCAGGACACTTATGCTTTTCTGTCAGTCAGGGGGATTCACATTTCCCTAGTGCCTGTAGTCCCCATCAGAGCCAGGGGCTGGGGCATTACAGAGACCAGCTGCCTCCTGACCACAGTGCAAGAGAGCTGAGAGTGTGGCAGCGAGCGCCTGGGGCTTGTACGGAAGGTCCCCTGTGAGCCTCAACACACTCGCTGTAAAAGAAAGACTAGAGGAGGTCCCAGTGAAGTTCCTCTGCGGAAGGAGACAGACTGAGTAGAAAGTGAAGGCTGTTAATGAGAATCTTGTATTAATGAAATATTTTTATCATCTTCATTTCTATTGCTGAATTGTGTGTCTTGGAAAGTAACCACCAAGTGTTACTATGCAGATAAAAGGCATGAGTATACGATTAAAACTTCTTTAGTAGTGGGTCTCTGACATATGTTGTGTATACATCAAAAGTGAAGATGCCAGAGCAAAACATTTCCTTCAAAACCTGTCAACTGAAACAGTAATGGGAGCGCTCATTGCATGTGAGCTTTTCTGCTAATGCTGTGTTACAGCTGGCAGAAAGAAGATAACTGTATCATTATTTTTCCAAGGTCAGGAGAACTCAGCAGTTGCTACTGAGTTTTAGAAAAAAATTTACTAAGGTTTTCTAGCATTTGTTTTTATCCTTGTTTTCAAAGATGCATGTAAAGAATGTGCAGGCCTGACCAGCTGATATAAATTTCTGACTTTCCTAACTCCCTGTTAGTTTGACTTCATGTTTTGATCCTTGATATAAATGTTAAGTATCTTCTAAAATTATTTTGGAAGAATTTTCTTTTTCCATATTTTCTTAGGAAAATGATTCCTGTTTTTAGACAAACTTGTGTATATCACTGACTTTTGGCTAGTGTTTCAGGTTAGTATCCTTCATATATAGTCTGGAAAATTAGAAGGCAGTGTTGGGATAGTTAATGAACCTTGTATATTTGATTTTGCTTTTAGGGGTATATAACTTGTATATTTAGTTTGAGGCTTGTTTTTTTCAACTAATATGTGAATCACAACTTTCCATTTTAACTTCTGAGAGATGTGCTGGTGATAAATTTTGTGTAAAAGTTCCCAGGAAACATGCTTAGTTTTTTTTTTATGTGCCTAATGTCCTGGGAGTCAGCAACCAAATTGCCAGTAGAACCCAGACTTTGTATTTTATTACAAAGGGGCAAGTAATGGACGTCTCTGTTTTCACATTTCTTTGTGTGTAAAATGGCAATACTAGGAACATTACCTACAGTAACTAAGTAACCTGAAATCCTTAACTGAAAGTTGCTGTAATAATTACCAAAATTTCCAGTACTAGAAAACATTAAAGAACTCAGAATTTTCTCTTCAGAACTGCTACACATGTCAGGTTTGGGTTTTTTGTAACAGCCTTATTTCCCATATTCTAAGAGTCAAGTGATGGCTTTGACATATTTTCAATGTAAATTAGTCATTAAGAAACTGTAAAACTGATATTTTTTTGAGGTTGACAATTACCCAGACTTTTTAAGAAACTTCACTAAAGGTAGAATGAAAGTATAAGCATAAATGGTTGTAGGATGAAGTTTTAATGGGGAAGATGATAAATAGTGAAGTGTATGGTAATTACAAATCAAAAAAGATTTACAGAACTAGAGATAACCTTTTTTCATAGAATGTAGTACTCTGTACCTTTAAACTATGTACAAGATCTTTTAAATACTGGGGTATTTTTTTTTAATAAGACTCCTAAAGCAGCTTTTGAAAGGATTTAGTTCAATATTGAACTCAATAAAAGGGGAATGCTTATTTTTTATGAATTTGATCAGAAATTGGAATATATCCTGGCCAGTTCCATGGGTTTTGGAGATCAAATTCTAAGATAATCCAGCTATTTTAAATGTTTCATCATAAATTAAATACTGCTGAAGACTTTTGAGAAATGCTGAAAATAAACCATATATTTAGATTTAAAACATTTTTAGTAATAAAAGACATTTTAGTAGCAAAATATTTAACTGCTCTTTTCTAGCAAGACTGGCAGTCCCCAGCTCTACTATTAAAACTGGGTTAGCTTTACAATTTACAGATAATGTAGATTTTTAGCAAAGATTTGATTGCTGCAATTAACATTATAATAAAGGACAAGCTGATGTACTCATTGCTGTTTTACAGATCTGCCAGGCATTATAACCTATTACCACATTTACAGTTAATCGAGTCAGCAATACTGCAAGAAAGCTAGAGCTAATCAACACTCATGAACAGGAAATGCTAAAAGATATTTTAATGTTTAACCCTTAATCATAGACCTCCATATTTTTGTAACTACGGACATAGTATAGTCAACAACACCGATCAGCTATCCGTAGGCAAGTCTTTTTCTTTATTAATTAAAAGTTGGAAGAGCTGTAATAAAACTATTTCAAATAGTACAGGCATTTTCCTTATTTTTTTGAACATTTTTCCTTTAATAAGTTTTGTCTCATTACATTTCATACCAGAAGTAACTTTTTATCCCTTCAGGCCAATGAAATGTTGTTCAGTGGAAGGAAGTTGACTGCGCAGGAAGCTTGTGCCAAAGGACTCGTCTCTCAAGTGTTTTGGCCGGGAACATTCACACAAGAAGTAATGGTTCGAATTAAGGAACTTGTCATGTGTAATTCAGTTGTAAGTTTCTTTCATTTTCTTACAATTTTATTATTAAATTAATAAGAATTAATCTAAATATTATTAGACTACATCATTATGTCCTTCTAAAAAAGGACCATCTTCATGAAACAAAGACCGCATTTTAGTGTAGCAGTGTCTTTTAACACATTCTTATGTACATCTTTGTTTCTGGGGGTTTGAGGATTTTTGAAGTTTGTATCTGACTCTTCTTTATCATATGTACATTGTGGTTGAGAACATTAAAACCGCATTTACTGCCTTACAATATATTTTGGTTTTAACATAGTTGCATAAGGCAGTCCAGCTTATTCTAATTAACAGTGTAAACAGTTGCCCTAATAACTGCACAGAAACACAGAAATCGTAAGTTGTCATTTAATGTCTTGAATTGTAATTTAAATTACCAAGGAAATAAATGCAGCCCTATGTTGAACTTAGTTTTATGAGTAACACCTAGTGTATTCATGCACTACTGGCAGTTGCACAATATAGCTAGAACTGCCAATATTTGATGCTTTCTTATGAGAAGAGATGCAGTACAAATTAACTGTTCTGTGCATTAGAAATTTTGGATTTTGAAACAGATTAATAGTTTTCTAAACAGAAAAGAAAACAATTTTCCGTCTATTTTACATGCTCAGGAGATTCAAGATCTGCCTGGTTATTAGAGCAGTTCTGGAAAATAGTGTTATGATTAGCCTTCACCAAAATGGAGCTGGAGATACGTCTAGTTATCAGTATAAAATTTTAGATGTATATTCATAGTTATGATTTGATGATTTTCATTATTTCCCCATTTTTGTGCACTTGTAAATTGTGCTGGTATAAGGTAAAGGAAATCTTTTGTGACGCTGCAAGAAAAGACTCTGGGAAACATTTCTTAGGGTCATAGTAAGTCTGTGAATTGATAAGCTTAAGTTCATAATCAGCTCCAGGATTCATCCATATGAACTTGTAAGCACATATCACTCAGTTCTCATGTAATACTAACCCAACTCCCTTTTCTTTTGGCCTAGGTACTTGAAGAATCCAAAGCTTTAGTACGCAATATCATGAAGGTGGACTTGGAACAAGCTAATGAAAAGGAGTGTGAAGTTTTGAAGAAAATCTGGGGCTCAGCACAAGGGATGGACTCAATGTTAAAATATCTGCAGAAGAAAATTGATGAGTTCTGATGAGATGCCCATTGACACTGGAATTGTATTTCTTGGACATGAGGGCAAAAAAAAAAAAGCCCACTTAAAAAATCCTATGTAAACTCAGCCCTTGCTCAGCTTGGGAACAGGAGTGGAACCTGCCCCTACCCCCCCTTTTATTGTCAAGGGGTTTAAAAGTACTGTATCACTTAAATTTGAACAAAACCCTTTCTCCCTGATTGTTACATATAGATATATATATACACACAAGTGTATGTGTGTGCATATGTATGTCTTTTATATATATAAATATATATAAATGTGTGTGCAAGTGTATATGTAGACACATACACACAAGCTAAAAAAAAAATGATAGAGTGCACTACCAAACATCTCTTTAAAGGCTCTAGTTTTTGTTATCTTTGGCTAGTACTGTATCAAATAGAGAATGGATTAAAAAGTGAATGGTGTTGCATTATTTTCTGTGTGGCAGGGAAGTCTGGAATAATGCTTTTCTTTCTTGTTAGAATACAGAATTGAAACGGGTATTAGCCAGCCCTTACTTTCACTACCCAACGAGTCAGTTAAGATACAAGGCATTGTCTCAGAAGAAGGTTGAAATACCTCAAGGAACATTCTAAAACTTTGGGGAATTAAACCCTATTAAGATTAAAACACAGATCCCCAAAAAGAGAGTGTGCTCAGGATTAATGCTAAAGAAAACACTCTGTCCTTTTTGGGGGGAGGTATAGAGGGAGGGGAGGAAGGGAGCAGGAATATCTTTAATTATTACCCAGATGGCATGAAGAAACCACTGTCTCTTGGGGAAGGGAAATGAGGGAAAAGGAAGGGGGAAGGAAAACAAAACAACAAAAAAACACAACAAAAAAAGCTTGTTTTGCAGTATTAGTGAATCACTGAATATCTTATGTATGAATATCCTAAGTTATAAGTTAGTTTTAGTGGGTTTTTAAATAGTCTCTCTGGGTTTGTTGTTCTGGTTTGTTTTTTTTAAATAACTACATAAGTGCTTCTGTTGCTGGGTGAGAATATTACTTTATATACAGTTTGGGTTTTGGTTCTTTTTTCCTTATTTGCTGGTTTAATTGATGTACTACACCAAAAAAGCATTTTATGTCCATAAATTTTAGGTTCACTTAGAATATATTATTTAATAAGTTAAAATTCTTTTGGCACACTATTAAGTAAAAAAAAAATCCTTTAAAAAAAACTACCTTATATTAGATGTTTAATGTTCTTTGTCTATGCTTTTTTTATTATTTTAAATATACACTATATACAGTATGGTGTAAAAGAGTGCCCTGTGTAAATAGACCTATTTTGCATTCCTTTCAGGAGTGGTTATTGATTCCTGACTGCAGATATCTATTATTACTTGGGTATCTGTGTTTGCAATCTTATTGAATGTATTATGAAGAATGAAAAAAAAAAATTCAAACCTTATTTTTGTACAGTTTTGAAGTTTTTACTTGGAACTGACCCACCTCCCCTTCCCAGTGGAGAGCTGTACAGTGTGTAAATCTGCCTTTACCTTGGATTGGTACAGTATTTTTGCATCTGTGGGACCTACTTTTTTGTTCTAGTAGTTTGAACTATATATAAACTGTACAATCTGTAAAGTTTTTATAGAATAAATATTCAGCTGTGAAAACTGGTTAAATAAAACTAATATTTCTTAACACATTTTAAATGTGGTTCTCTCATAGAGTTGTCTTTTTCAAAGACATTTCAATTCTGATTTTAAAGTAAGAGCTGCTGAAACAAATCTTGCAAATGAAAGACTTCAATGTGTATATTTTATTTTGTTAAAAATTAATTTCTTTGAAATGACAAGTTGAAAATTAATTTGTTGTTGCAAACTACAAAGAAGTTTTTCTCTTAGAGGACACAGATGGGGGAAGAAGACACAGAGGAAGTCATTCTACTCTTAATTATTTCATTACAGTTCTAAAAGAGTATTCACTAAATGTTTCTGTGAAATCTCTTTAAAATGGGTCATTTTGCCTGCAATGCCATTGTAGGCAAAAGTTAGAATTCCTTAGCTGAATTTTATTTTATAAAAAGGGAGAAGGAAAGATACCTTACCTACATCTCTGATGTGAAACCTTTTGGAGTCCAACCCAAATTTATATGAAGATCCCTTTTCTGGCATCTGTAAGAGCATTTAGGCATAGATTGAATCTATTTCAGCTGGAGGATTATTTATGCTTTCCTTAAATATCAGAGAATTCTACTGTAATGGAGGACTGGATGTAGAAATATTTAAGAAGAATTAAATCAGTTGAAGGTGCAGGCAATTCAAATGGAAAATAGTTCTACTTGCTTTATTTTTGTTTTATTATCAGTCAGGCTATTATGCTTCCTACAATTTGCATATTAAGATGTGACTAAGTTGGTGACCATGTAAATTTCTGTCCTTGACTAGAAAAAGTCCTTAGTTCAGACCAATTCATATATACTGTCAGCGTCACTGTGCGATTGCCCGACCTATATACTAAAAGCAGTAACTAACTTTTTACACTATTAAAAAGTTATGCTCTCATTGATAAACAATATACACATTTTCTCTATATACTGGCCTACAAGCAGACTTTCTTTAGGAAAAACACCGTCCAGTTCTTTGCAGTATTAGTCAGTAAATGTCCTTTGTGTGTGAAAGTTACACATCAGTCTAGCTTAGTCTTTCCAAAGCCCTAACAGAACAAAAGACAGAACAATTAAAGACTTATCTCAAGCTTATTGCTTGCTATTATATAAAAAAAAGTGACCCAAGACCTTTTAAATTGAGTGTTTTCAAGGCTTTTTATATAGGTCTTTGTCTATTGGAAGTGGCAACTGGAATGCATTGAGGCCACGGAGTACACTTTCCCCCCAAAGCTCCATCACAGTCAAGTTTATTTTTGGAAGTAAATAAGAGACCTTTCCTCCTGGTCAGAAAACAGTACCAGAGAGCAAGGGGTTGAATGCACTTGAACTGTTTGAAAGCCACCTCTGTGCACTTAACCAGACCTTCTGCTGCTGTGCTAGTTTGAACAAAAATGAAAGCAGAGCAAGGCTTTAGCTGCTCCAGGTAAGCTAACCTACAACAAAAGGTATTTGGGGTAATCTGAAGATCTGAACTCACCTATAGGTGTTTTCCTTGTTCAGACTTCCAAATTTGCATTAATCCAGGACTTGAAACAAGTTTCCTTCAGTGAGTCCTGCCCTGGATTGCTGACATTGCTAAAATACACACCTCTGTGCTTCAGAAGCTGCACCGTTAACATTCTGTAAACAAGGTTCAAGGGAATTAAATAATCTTTTTAGGCGAGATTCATTTCTTAAAGTCAGGCACACTTGAATAGAAAAAAAAAAAAACAACACATAATGCTGAGCTATAAAATCCTTAACTTGACACTGATATATTTCATACTTTACCCGAACAGTGAATAAAATAGGACTGCAACCATCCAGAGAATGAGGCAGCAAACAAAACATTTCTGGCCAAGTGAACAGGGGAGACTTTCTTCAATAAATGGAGCCCATAGTCTAGCTAGGTTTGTTGGTGGAAGTGGAGGCACTTCACATTCATCTGGAACATGACAAGTATGCTTCTGAAGGGAGTAGGAGGGGGGAGACACCTCAACTCAATTCCAGTTTGCCATATGATTTTCCATCCTAAGTAACTGCCAGCAGCTGTCAACACACAGGCTGTCTTACAGAGCTGTGGCAGAGGCTGAGTTGGCAACCTTAAGTTATGCAGCATGGGAGCTCAGTTATACTGAAGATGGCACACCGGTGAATTTTCCTTTCCAAGGGAAGAAGTATCAGGAGCAGAGCCTGTGTATAGCACAAGATCACCGTGGTCCTGTTCGGTACAGCCAGTCAGATTTCTCTACAGAATACTTCAGTTGCAAGTCTCTGCCTTTTTTTCCCTTATTCGTGAGGGACATGACTGGCAGATTAAGACATGCAGCAGACTTACAAAAACCAAATATAATTACCTCATGAGGTACTTGCAGGGTGAAGAGAGGCTTGATGTCCAAAGATTTTGAAGTGCAATACAAAATGAGAAGATGGTGATGGAGTTCTTTTGGTTCTCCTCATCCCTCCTGCACATGGAAAAAATACAACAAATAAGGGGAATTAGAAACCACCAAGAAAGAGCAGGTAAGAAGTCAGAAGAGCTGCAAGAGGAAATAAGGACGAAAAACTGCCATTCCTTTAAGTCCTCATTCTTTTCACTCTCCTTGCTGGAATAGATACAATTGACAAGAACACCGGGTGAATATATACCTGTTCCATACAGCAGCATGGAGAATGCTACCAGTAAGTACTAAAATGCCTAAACTCATGCAGGCCCCAATCCTCATGGGGGACTTCAACCCCCCGATATCTCCTGGAGGGACAACACAGAGAAGACAAGGCTCAGGGGGATCTCATCAATGCACATAAATATGTGGAGGGAGGGCACAAAGAGGACAGAGCCAGCCTCTCTTCAGTGGTGCCCAGAGACAGGACCAGAGGCAATGGCACAAACAGAAACACAGGAGCTTCCCTGTGAACATCAGGAAACACGTTATTACTGCAAGGGTGACCAAGCACTGGCGGAGGTTGCCCAGGGAGGCTGTAGAGTCTCCATTCTTGGAGAGACTCAAAAAACTTATGAACACAGTCCTGAGCAACGAGCTCTAGGTGACCCTGCTTGAGGGGAGTACAGGGGAGACCAGATGACCTCCAGAGGTCCTTTCCAACCTCTGCCATTCTATCAAAAAAACCACTTGCATTAATTTTCGAAACTATACAGTTATCACCCCGCAAACAACATCTATAGCTAGAACTGCAGGCTCCTCAGGCTCTGCAACACTGCGTGTTTTAGTCTTTGAGAACCCACCACCTTGTGCTGCATGATACCACATCACCCAGAACAGAGGGAAGTACAGATCAGCTCCTGTGTTTCAGATAAGACAGGGATCATCCTTTACTTTGTCTGTTAAAAGGCATAAAGTTATTCGTTTCTTCAAGGATAAACAGGATCG